TTTTTTTTTGGTTTTAAAAGCACAATCACTAAACTTTATTTGTAAACCATTGTAACTATTAACCTTTTTTGTCTTATTGAAAAAAGTGTTGAGAAGCGTTTTTAACCTGTTTTGTTAATGCTCTATGTTTGTATTTGGAATATTTGAATGATGACAGGTGGTGAAGTAACGTGCATACTTTATTGTGGGCCATGAACCCAATGGTTCTTACTTTTCCTGGACCTAAAGAAAAAAAAGGTTTAAGTTTGTTGTGGCCAATGTTGAAACTTATAAGATTTTCTTATAAGCTCAAAGAGAGGCATTACTTGCTTTGAATTGCCAAATGATGCCCTCTGACTGTAGATTTTTATGATCCTTTTTTGTCGTTATATGAATTTCATTGACTTGATAATTGGTGCTATTTGAAGAAAAAAATGTACATTTATTCATACACAGGTATCAGGCCTGACCCCACTGGAAAACAAAGCCAAACAAAACTGAACCACACAGAAAAAGCTGGTGTTCACCAAAAACTAAATGTGTTCACTTAGATAATTTGAAAGTTACATAGAAAGGGTGTGCAGTACTAAGGGAACAATCCATGTGATTAATGTTTTCATTATGTTCATGTAAGAAACCTCTTATTTTTAGCCATAATTTTGCATACTGAAAACCAATAATCAGAAAAGTAATTTTGTCACATTATTTATTAAAAATGTTCTCAAATACATCATTCTTTCTTGTGTTGATTTCTTTTGTTTTTTCATTGTGTGATCAAATTTATTCCATTTAGTCACAAAGTTGTGCTGTCTTAACATTTCACCACTGTATTATCAGATGAATAAAAATTCTGTTTTCTGAACAACGAGGCTTTACTTATAAGGAAAAATTCTCTACTCCATGGAAATTAAGGCTGTAAGATCAATCAAGACCTAAAAGTCATTTGGTCATAAAATAGCGTTTTAATATTAAGGATGTACTAAAATGTTTTTTATGTGTATCTGAATTTCAATTAACCTATTTCTGAAATAGTGAGGATTCAACTATGATACATCTAATTTATAAAGTTTGAGCCACTTCTGTTCCATCAATAAGAAAATTATATTATCCAGAATATTTATTAGTAATTATCTGCTTTCTTGTTTACAAGTTCATGTGAAATTTTAACAATTCTATACCTGCCATATACTGGGTTGAACATTATTGCCCATTAGATTAAGGTCAGAATATTCAAGTATTCAACTTTGAATGGATGAGATGAGCAAGAGAATCTAGTGAAGGTTCTTTCCCTGTGATATATATATGGTTAAACTTTGTGTTGATCATAATTTACAAAACTGGGAAAATTTTGAAAAAAAAGAAGGTAGATATTATTTTGAAGTTTAATTTTACAAAAGTGATATAATCACCAGCATCTGCTTAGATCCATAGGTCAAGAAGTCAGTTTCCAAGCTATTTCAAGGGGAACATTGGAGAGACATGCTTAATGGCCTAATTTTTCTCTCCCCTTGTGAGGAGACTATAAGCTAGTTTCTATTTATATCATGTGATATACATATAAATTATGTGAATCTGGGGGCCTGTGTTTGAGTCCCAGTTTTGTCATGAGCTGCATTTCCTTGGACGTGTTACTTAACCTCAAAATCTCAGGTACTTCACCTGTAAATTCAATAATGCCTACCTCATGGAGCAATTGTCATGATTCAGTGAGTTAATGTATGTGACGACATGGACTCTGTAAATGCCCCGAACAACATAAGATATTGTATTTATAGACTGAAATTCATTGCATCCATTCTATCCTCACTTTTCACACATAGTTTGGTCCTACAAACTTGCAAAGAGTTAAAAACATATCAAAGTATAGATGTAGTGCAAAGATGGGGGTGGTTCCATTTCCAGTGAGTAAAATACACTGTGAAATTCCTAACCCTGGAATAAATTATTTGTGTTTTTGTTTGTTTCCTTGCTTTTGAATTCCTGAGGGCCACACAATGGGTGGTGATGTGGCATTTTCAGCACATATTTCACAGTTCAGGTGCAATGTCACTTGAGTTTTAAATAACAGTGTTTGGGCTGCTGTTCTGCTTAGTGGCAGAAAAATATCATCTTTATTCTGGATGAACTCAATTGTATCTGACTTTCTTGGTCATTTCAGATATAAAGTCCAGATTTTCTCTTCCTTGCCCTCTCTATAGGGTAGCATCTAAATTCCCAGGGCTGTATTCTTTTGTAGAAAGTGTGTGTGTGTGTGTGTGTGTGTGTGTGTGTGTGTGCATGCGCATGTGTTGGCGGGGGCAGGGGGCGGTGTTGGCGGTAGAAGCTTTCAACAATTTTGCTCTTGTCCAAGTTTCCAATGGTCTTTGTTTATCATAACTTTTATGCAGCATCTTCCTTTTCCCTACCTCGATATCCCTTATTCATAGACACTATCCTGATATTTTTAAGCCCTTTGATGTAGGTTGGGTGTAGGGAGCAGCGAATGGGGCTTTCATACGCTCTTCCATGCCATGCTGGGGTTCTGGAGACTTGGGTATGAGGACCCTTCCTTGGGCCTCGCAGGATGCTACTATCTTTAATTGCTTATGGAGGCTGTGTGCATGTGCGGGTTGGGGGAAGGGATGGTGGCTACTTTTGAAATGTAAAGGAAGTTGGCCTTGGTCCTAGATCCAGACCACCTATTCTTGAATCCTGCTTCCACAAATTATTAGCTATAGCCATGGGAAGATTAGTGAATCTGCCTTAATCATTGAATGGTATTAAGAATGCCTACTTTACAAGGTTGTTTGGATTAAATGAATTGATATGCGTAAAGTACATGGTAAATGCTCAGGTATTTATGGGCCATACCTCCTCCTTCTCTGATTCAAAACTAGAAAGTGCTGCCGAGGCTGCTCTTGCAGACTCCTAAAACTCTACATGATCAGAGGTGAGAGGGCACAAGAATCAGAAACCTCAGTGACACATTCGCTGTATCTAATTCTCTCACCTCATGTTTAATTCTGTCTTCCCAGTGAGATAGAGGAGGAGAAGGAGAAGAGAACAAGAGGAAAAGTGGGGGAAGAGACAGACTAGCATGTATATTGCTTGCATGCCAAGTCTTTGGTTTGCAAGACCTTAGCTCTTGCAACTGAGCCTTCATTCTGCTATAGATTTCAAAAATCTGTTTTGAAACCGCAAAGGGAGTGTTCAATTGCTTTTCTATGGTAACCATTTCTTTGCATTTCTCTGGAAACCATCTGAGGGCAGCGTACAGAGAAAGCTCTCTCATCTGCTGGAAGTGGGAAGTGGGATGGTATGGTAGGAAATAGTCCGTAGCAGGTGCAATGTCTGTTAATATTAAAATATACAATCTTGCTACAAAAAAGATATAATTAGACATTAAAAAAGAGGTTACTCTTCAAATGAAAATATCTTTTCTCAAATTCTAGTTTTCTCAGCTTATTTCAAGAGAATATAGCAGAAATTTAAAAGGGGAAAAAAAACAACAACAGGGATTTGTCACCAGACCAAACTAACTATTGAGCAAGAGAGTATAAAGATTACTTTAGTGTTAACAAGTTTGGTTTTTTTTTTAGATGTTTATTTTTTTGAGAGGGGAAGGGGGCAAGAGAGAGGGAGACAGAGGATCCGAACCAGGCTCTACTCTGAGAGCAGAGCCTGACATGGGTCTTGAACCCACGGACCGTGAGATCATGACCTGAGTCGAAGTCGGACAGTTAACCAACTGAGCTGCACGGGTGCCCCAATGTTAAGTTTTAAGATTTTTTTTTTTTTAGAAAAATATGGGCATTGACTTTTTTCTTTTCATAAAGGAGTCTGTAACAGGACTTCCAACCAAAAGCCTTAAGGACCTCCTGTTTCTAGATCCCTAAATTTGGTTCCTATTTTGGTATTGATGCTTAAGATTTTTTCCATGTATGAATACACTCCAACCGCAAAGTCCAGTGTCCATTTGTTAAGGTGAGATCTTGTCTGTAACACACCAAGTGACTGCCTTCCCTACCACAAATGTGTCATTTTCATCAGCGTTTTTATAAAATGACAAAACAATAAAATATTCAGATAACCCTGGAAAGACAAGGACAACCACACCAAAACTGAGCTGTCGTTTGCTTAGCACTCAAGTGTTCCTGCTGTAAGGTGCTCAGTTCAGTGGCTTAAACAATTTACTACACGATGAACAAAAATGTAGACTATATGGAAATGGAATGTAAGAAAGTCAGATCTTGAACTTAGAAATAAAAGAATTTACTCATATGAGGAATACAAATACATTGTTATTATGAGTTAGCAAGATGGTTTTTAACCAAATTGGCAACCTTTTTTTAGATGTATGAGGGTGTCTGAGAAAACAAATGTGGCTTTATTTTTCAAAAAGTGGATAATCTTTTATTTTTAAAATTTCTTGTCGTTGTTAAGAACAAAGACTAATTAATTAACATTAGGGGTGTTAATAGTTTAGCAAGTTACTTTGTCTTTCTCTTTCCCTTATTCCCTGTTGTGAATGCTAGTGAGAGGGAGAACAACAAATGAGTATTTAAAAAATATGTTCAAAGATACTTATTCTCTGGAGGCCCTAAGCCTGTTTCTCAAAGTAATGTCCATGAATATCTGTCTTCTGGTTATAAATGTAAATTCCTGATTCCTGTCCTGTTCCCACTCAATCAGAATCCCGGAAAGCAAGGCCTAATAATTTGCATTTTGGAAACAATCCCAGGTAGGTTTATGTTTAAAAAAATAAGGTTTGAAAACCACCCCCCTAATATAAATGAAGTATATGTTTCATTGTAATATATCTGAAACTGGAATGAACCTTAGAGTTGACAGCGTCTTGCAATCATTGTCAGACCGGCAGCAGTCACAATGTAGTTTTCATTGTCTGCTTTAAAAAAACATGTCTCACACAAACAGAAAGTGAACACTTGTCAGATTTTATTTGCCTCACTAACAAGGGAATCAGCAGGAAGATAGCATTTGAAGAACAGTTGTGGAAGGAACTTAAATATGACTGCTCAGTAAGTTACCTTTCTATAGGGCAATACAAACGTGTTAATATTTGTGCTGAACTAGAGAATCATGACACCTATCTTTCTTTTCAGGTTAAATAATCGCTAACCTTCAGAGCTGCATAACATGTGCACCTTTTTCATTTACGATTAGTCAAAAAATACTTTGATGATTTGCATCCGCCCAAAAGAATCAGATGAGGGTCAAACAGTGACTTGGTTTTGTTGGTTTCCCAGGAAGCAGAACCTGCGACAAAGACCTGGGCACAAACAATTTATTTAGGATGTAATCCCAGGAAGTGGGTTTGGGAGTGGGAGGGAAATGAGAGAGAGACGTCAATACGGGTACTTTAAAGTTGGTAAAGGTGCCTCCCGTGGGGACTCTACTGGCTTCTCTGAGAAGCATACAGAATACCTCCCTGAATCCTTCCCCAAAGGACAGGTACCTGGAACATTATCAGCTTACTCCTAGTTCCCCATTAGTTGCAAGTTGTTGGTGGGGCAGGGGTGGGGTAGGCAGGGGAGTTACCTCTCAAGCACTGGTGAGCAGACCAAGTGAGAATAGGAGACCCAGAGACCCAGAAGACCCAGGGGCAGAAAGTGGACATGCTTTATGGCTGGTGTCTGAGATGGGTGTGCCAAAATGAGGTAAGTATGATCTCAAAGGGAATTGTCTGCCACAACAGAGCCCGCAAAGCCCTGTACCACAAGCAGGATCATTGGAGATGTTTCAACACGATATCAAAAATCAAGCCATAATCAAATTACCATTTTCAAATTTAAGATACATTTCTTTCACATCGTGCATGTATGAATTTAGTCATAGGTATTCACACTACTTTCACATTGGTGGAATTCTTACGAGGTATCAGTTGCTGGTACTGTGTGTGTTGAGTTTAACTGCCATTTAACATACAGTAAAAGCTTGGATTGTGAGGAACTTGTTCCATGAATGGTCCGCAAGATGAGCAAACGTTTCCGATAAATTTTAAGTTGATACAGGAGCAATATCTTACAATGTGAGTAGTATGTAATGCCGAACATCACATGATCACAACTGAACTAATGGTTCTTGAAGTTCGTTTTGATATACAAGTACTTTGGATTACTTGTATAATCGGGATGAATTATGCTCGCAAACCAAGGTTTTACTCTATTTTGAAAATTCTTATACTATCAGTATTGAAACAATATCAAAGCAAAACAGGTATGGAAATAGCAGTGAGATGTGAGTTGGGTCATCAGAATAACGACGATCGTGGATTTTCTAGCAGAGCAATAAGCTTTATGGTACCTAAGAAAGAAAAATATCCATAATAATTAAAGTTGTGCTTTACAATACATAAACTGTGCAAATATATGCTGGAAAAATGACCTAATCCCTCAGAAAAAGATGAAGGAAATTTCAAGCAAACTTGAGGATGGTGTAGCCCATTTATGTGTCTTGCAAGACTGTCATTGAGTCACTGCATAACAACTGCAATCAGTAGCATGTACACAGTGGCAGGTAAAATAAATCTCTTTCAACAGAACTACATTTGAGGAAACATTGTAACATTTATGCAAGCCCATTGCCTTAAATGAGTTAGGCTCAAAGTTTTTACATGGATTTGGTACTTTTCACTCAGATCTTGCGCACAATCACAAACTCCACATAATAGGACTGACGTGACGGGTGCCTGGGTGGCTCGGTCAGTTGAGCATCTAACTTCGGCTCAGGTCACAATCTCGTGGTTCAGGAGTTCGAGCCCCACATTGGGCTTTGTGCTGACAGCAGGGAGCCTGCTTCCCATTCTCTACCTTCCTTTCTCTCTGCTCCTCCCCATCTCGCTCTCTGTCTCTCAAAACTAAGTAAACATTAAGAAAGAAAAATGACAGTAGTGAGGCTTGGAGGTTTTAGACACTCTTCTTCCAATTAGGCAAAGCTCTGAGCTCTCCAAATCTTGAATGAAACAAAGTTCTCGATGCTTCCCACTTAGGTGACTTCTATTGCCTACTCAGCTTCAGGAAGTCACAAAAGTAACCTGGACAACTAGGACTTTTATCCTCACCTTGTACTTCAGGGGTCTCCTGCACTTTGGAGTGTCTTCCTGGAAATTTTAACACTCCTCCTCTGCTGACTGAGACTTGTCAGGCAGGCACTGCCTTCAGAGCAAAGTGCCAGAGCCCAGATAGGGATTGATGTGGACCCAGGACCTTGCATGTGGGAGCCTTAACACAAGGAGCGTCCCGATAATTGTCTATAGGATTGTCCTGAGGTCCAGTGAACTGATCCCTGGTTCCAGGAGGGTGATATCGTTAGTGGATTGCTCACACTGGCTGGCATATATCTTTCACAAAATTGAATCCGATTGTGCTCTCAGAACGGTGCTCCTGTGTTTGATTTGGAAAGACTTCTGTTGTTTATATAAACAGAGGCCCTGCAGAGGTGTTTACCCTGGCTGCCACACTACGGAACCCTGAATGTAGGGAAAACTTTTAAGCCATCCTAATAAAACCTGAGTTTTAACATGGAACACCTGTTTAATAGACTGCTTTATGTTTTTCACAGTATGAGAGCTTCGATACCGTACAGGCAATAACCTTCTCTACCTGTTCTTGGTAAAGGTTCTGTGTAAATCATTACTAAATGCCTCTTCAGCTTGTGTGTAAGACTGAGTGTTTATATGAGTGCTTGTGATTTTAGTGGGCAATGATAAAGTTAATAGTTCTTTATATAAGTTCTGTTTTTAAATCTGCAAAACAAAGTTATGCAGCATGTTGGTAAGGTCTTACAGACTAAAAGGCATTTGGAATAGTTACTGTGGGAAATACCATAAGAAGTGAATTATCAATAAATAGATGATGGGAAAAAGATGAGTCATTTATTTGTACCTGCTATGATTTAAATACGTAATCAGATTGAATTTTCACCAACTTG